TCGGAGGGCCCGTGTGCAAGTTGTGCATGTTAAAGATCCCTTGGTGGTCTAAAATCGATAAGAGTAGGCTTCGGCCGCCACCCGGGCAAAATTCAAAAATTTCCTACCAACTGAAAATATTAGGAGTGTCCCGCGCGCTCATATGACCTATGCAGTTGCGAGCGCCATAAAACACTATACAAAATAGGCCACATACAAGCTCCTTCCATTTATCTCAGTCCTGGGTCATCCTTCCCAGCTCGTTCCAAGTGAGTTTCATCTCTCTTATGTCCCTTTCAATACATCTCCTCCGCGTTTCCCGTGGCCTACCCCTGCCCCGTGCTCCCTGTGGAAGAACAAATATGTGTCTGGCGGTTGGTCAGATTTCTATTTCAGTGTTTTCCCCTGAAGTAATGATAATGGTAATATTAAATAGCATGAGAATAGTATAACAGATAACCCAGCTCTACAGCAAGTCTATGCGACGACTATGAAATAGATAGAGGTTAGAATAGAGGGTTAGGGTTAGAGATGAGGCTAGGGCTAAGGCGGTAGGGTTAGGGTTTAAGCTTGGGTTAGGGGTTGGGTTAAGGTCAGGGTCAGGGTCAGGGTTAGGGTTAGGGTAAGGGTTAGGTCTCTTCTTCATTGTGTTTGTTGGGGTGGTCGCTCGTTACACGGAAGTGCTTCCAATATCTCGCCCTTAAGACATGCACGTTAAAGAAAGAGTCTTTTTGTTATAGGAATAGCGTAATGATCTCCAAATTCATGGCTGTTTAATTAAGTAATTAAGACGAATCCATATGCTCCTGGTTCGACTTTTCCCTCTCTAACCTCGTTTTCCATATTATAGGCCAAACACAGCAAGATTCATTGTTAACACTTTAAGGACGCAGTAGATCTATAATACTATGGCCGACCAGCAAACAGACAAAAGTATAATATGTTGTGGCTCATTTCAAAACACCATGCAAAGAACACACACCAAAAGAAAAATGTGTAAGTAGTAAGTATCTATTCTTTTTCTGACTACCCAATTTGTTTCTTCCATCGACAGAAAATCGAGTTGAAAGTCTCCCTGTATTTTTTGTTCATATTGTAATACACAAAAATGTTCACACTGGAATTCGCCACTTCGCAGAAAGAGACAATAGGCCAGGCGATATAAAAATAGATTTCGTATTCGCCTCCGAGATTAAATTCCGGTTCGAATATGGTTGTGAGGAAAAGAACAGTTCCTGGGGTGAGAAAGCCAATCAAGATACAGGCGACCATGACCACAAGTCTGATTGCTGATCTGTCTCGTTTGGAAGTCGACGTTTTGTTCTCTGAAAGTGAACTCGTCTGCTTGCGCCATTCCGACTTTTTCTTCAGCATAATCACCAGTGCGGAGGTTAATAAGATCAACAAAATGAATGACGTCATTTGAAGGACCACAGTGGCAATATACGTGATGTTCTCTAGTTCTGCGGCGTTTGGAGACATGACGAGGCCAAAAACAGTGGCGTTGTCTTGAGTTGAGAACTTCCAATCCAAACTGTACCCAACATAAACGGGCATTATGCTGGAGATGACCAGAGCGTAGATACAGAGAACGGTGACAAAAGTTCGTTTTGGCTTTAACATTCTCTTCACATGAAGCGGTATGGCCACACAGAGACATCTCTCTAGAGTGATGTACACGGTGATAAGGCCCGTGATACGCGCGAAACATACGCGTGGAAAAGACCCGGCCAGATACTGAACCTCTCTGTTTTTCACCCGCCATTCCTCGTACGGCATAAGAGGATTAAAACACTCGGCGAGAACCAAACCACCAACAACGGTTCCAAAATCGGAGATGGCAAGCCCTACCAAACCCACTGTGATGGTCTCCTTGAAGCCTTGCTTGCAGAAGACGGTGATGTTGATGATGTTGCTGCCGATGCCGAAGACAGACACGATTCGACTCAAACTGACGTGGAGCAAGATTTCTGCCACCAGGAGGGACCAGGGAGGGAAAGTTGATCCCGGACTTTTCTGCATGCCGGGATCTGCGGCTGTTGTGTTGTTGGTGACGCTCAAGTCTGCAGACGATTGAATTATAGCATCGTTTCCGTCATAGAATAAGGAAATAAGTCATGGAATAAAACAGAAACTGGAATAATAATATTTTTAAAAAGTTAACGAAACAATCTTAAACAAAACGCCGAGAGAAAGGTTGAATGAACAAGGGTCTGCTGTTGCTAATGCTGGAGTCTGCAGCCAGACGCTTGCGTAGCATCGTAGTGTAAGGAACAGAACATTGAGAAAGTCATGGGAAAAAAGAAAAACCAGAAACTAGGAACGTTTTTAGATTAACAAAACAAACTTAAAACACAATGCGAAGAGAAAGGTTTGTTGTTGCTGAGGCTCAAGTGTGCAGACGTTTGAATAGAATTGTAGTATAATAAGGCATAGAATACGTTAAGTAAGTCATAGAAAAAACACCAAAAAACAAACAAACCAGAAACAGGGAACGTCTTTAACAAATTAACGAAGCACGCGAAGAGAAAGGTTTGCGCTAGGGTCTCCTGTTGTTGTGCTGAATTCTGTAGATGTCTGAGTTAAAGTGTCGTATAAGTCATAGAATACGTAAAACATGGAAAAGAGACTAGACATTTTTTTCTATTAAAAAAACACACCACACACAAACGAAACAAACTTAAATACAAAGCGAAGAGAACAGTTTGAAGTAAGGTCTCTTAAGGTGACACTGAAGTCTGCAGACGATTGAAATATAGCACTGTATGCTATGCTATAAGTCGTGGAATACAACAGAAAAAAAAGAAACGGTTTCAAAAAGTCAACAAAACAAACTTAAACACAAAGCGAAGGGAAATGTTTGAACTAAGATCTGTTGTTGCTTACACTGAAGTGTGTATACATTTGAATAACATCGTAGTACATGCATAAAGCATAGTATAATATATTAAGTAGGTCATGGGAAAACAAACAACAATGTCAAAGAAACAAACAAAACAAAAACAAGGAACATTTTAAAAACATTTCCGAAACAAACTTAAGCACAGCGAAGATTGTGCTGAATTCTGAAGACGTTTGAATTATAGCATCGACACAAAATAAGCGAGTCACAGAAGAAAACAACAAAACAACTGATGTTAAGGAACACGAAACAAACTTTACTCTATCCAGACGCCCTGGGGTCATTTTGTATCCCCGGGGTTGCATTCTTCACATTTTAGAATACTTCTAGTTCGAAGATCTCTTTGAAACTTTCACTATTTCTCTAAAAAAAAATTTGACAGACTGCTATGCAAAGCGCAAGGGTGGCGTTGGTGGCCTAGTGGTTAGGTTACCGGACCCGTAATCGTAAGATTGCGGGTTTTCGAGCTTCAGCTCGGTCCGACGTTGTGCCATTGGGAAAGACATTTTACTACACGAAAATCCCCTTTGGTTCGGACCTTTCGGAGATGGACGTTAACTCGGAGGTCCCGCCTCTTAAATACCTAATAGTGTTGATAGGGGCGTTAAACCTATACCATATTTTTTTAAGCGTACGTATCGGATTAACGAGTAAATTTCTTCTTTGGGAAGTGGTGGCACAGAGTTCCCCACGTCGTACGAATAGGTTTAAACAGAAAGCGAAGGGAAAGGTTTGCGCCAGGGTCTGTTGTTTTCTTGTTTTATGGCTAAAGTTCTCGCCTTGCAGATGAAAGACATGAGTTTGTTTCACCAGCGCGGAAGATATTAAATTAAAGGCTATTTTAACAACTATCTTCGCCCTTCTGCCGGGACCATGTAACTCACATGACAGGAAA